CCAACTGATTAACTACAGGTCAAGTTATTATTTATTGTTCCTACAACTTGGTTAAGTGACAAGACTTTTGTCCTTGCAAAAACAGGTGTTATGGACTTTAACAAGCTGTGAACATCAGGACACTTTTTGACTGTTTTATTTGCACCCAGTTATTAATGTGAAAGTCCTTGGCATTAAATTGATCCATTTATCGTAACAATTGATTGATTATAAATAAAGTTATATGCCTTTTTAAGTTACTATGTCCTTATGTGACAAGACTTTTGTCAATGACTGTACATGATATATAAGCACAATTCCCGCATACCCATAATTTTTAAAAGGAAAAGAACAAAATCTCTGAATGACTGATGTTCTAACACTGTGATTGTGCCTTGGTAGCTTAAGGATAAAGAGCACTGTCCTAGTGATCCCAAGATTCTGCAGTTTCAGTGTTGAGGGTCAAACAAACAATACTGTAAAGGCCTTAGTAGAGCTAACTCAGCCTTTTCTGGGCTATCCCTGTGTGCTAAACTGGTTCAGCACTAAAAGGAATTGCAAGATGGATACAGAAAAGGAAGGTGGGGAACAGAACTTACCACTATTCATCCAGAAGGTATGGGGTGGCGGAAGCCCAGGAGGTGGGTTGCAAGTCAGTACAAATGGTGATCCCTCAGTGACAACCACTGGCTCCAGGACCTCTTTGGGCCATAGTGGAGACTCTGTTACAGATGTAAATCGAACAGAATACTTCATTAAAATCCCCCATATCAATATAAAGGAGATTCACCACAAGTTTTACATAAATAACAAAATCGAATCTGTAGGGTTCTAACAAGAGGTAAGAACACTAACTGCAGCAGTCTTAACTGCTCTTTAAATGAGTGTTCTATATGTAATTCATTGATGGTTTGTTGAAAATGTTCAATGATATCTATGTTTGGTGCCCCAACAGGTGGCTGCCCTTCACAGACAGCTTCTTCTACAAAGAGCAAGTTGATGGAGCGTTAAAAAAAATTTCCCCATGATGAACAATAAAGGTTAAATTATTATTATTATGTTTGTGTGCTTTTTTATCACTAAATGTATGATGTTGCACATGTGTGCTATCCCTAGGCTGATGGTTGTTTCAGAAAGTTTATGATGAAAGGTAACACAACTGATTCATGAACATGTGTCTGTAATGGACAACTGTTAATTTCCATACTCGAGACTCTGAGAAGGATCTTGTTGGAGATTGCTGTGCCAAAGTCATTGGAGGCAGAGCACTGGTACTCCCCCTCGTAGTCCTCGGGACGCCCACCACTGCGAAAGCTAATTTCCAGTGTTCCAGACCGTTTGCGCATTGACACACGAGGGTCTTTCATTACATTGAAGAACTTGCCATTCCGACGCCATGAGAAACTGCAACAAAAAAATACAGACCCTTTAGGTCATACTGTATCCTCAAGGACATTGTAAGTAAGTGAACTGTAATATAATACATTCTTGCTTTAAACATTCCCCACCTGTTCTCAGTAACTTCCATAATCTGGTCACACTGATGAATATTGCAACACCGCTATCAAATATTTAAATGCACAATAAAACACTATCAAGGATGTTTAAGGTACTGAAAATAATTTTATAAAAAGCAAATGTGCATTCAATATAAACAATAAAACTAGAAAATGTTCTAATAATCATCAGTATAATACATAGTATACTACAATGGCTGCATTATGTAAACAACTAAATAGGGGGAACAAATTCCTTTTGAATGGTGCCAATGTTCTTAGCTAGTCAAAGACTTATGCAACAGAATACAAAAGCACATTGTAGCTGCATGTGCCAGTTTCACCTGGATATTCCATTAGACGGGGCCTTGTGTAAGTGTGTGTCTATGCGTGTGCATGCGCATGTGTGTGTACACATAAGGAACGGTAGTCCATTGGGCTTGACCCGGAGGTTCACATTTTCTGAAATGCTCTTCAGTGTTTGTGCATGGCCTGATGCCCATTATTTCCAATTATAGTTGGATTAGGAGAGAAAACAGAGACAAAGAGTGGTATACAGTAACATGGGTGTGAAGAGAGCATGAGACATAGAGAGCTTGCTGAGATAAAGAGAGAGACAAGAGAGAGAGGGCAGCACAGGGAACGAGGTACAGCAGCCCTTTGTTTACTCTTACACTGGTACAGGATTCCCCTTGGCCTCACACTCGATGATGATGTTATCTCTAGGATCCACAATGTAGTCCTTCAGAGACTGCTTGACAATAGTAGGGGGCTGCTTTACTGCGGGTGAACAGAGTGTCAATTAGCTGCTCTGGGCTTGCCCATGCATGATACTGATAACATGCCAAGTGAGACTCACCCCAGACATTGATATTTGAGTTATACTTTTGATAATTAAATATGTTAACTTTGGTCAGAATATTTCAGATATGGAGACCACATACTTTACAAAATGTATCTAAGAAATTTAAAAAATGCATGTTATCTTTTCATTTTGCTCCTTCTCTGTCCAACTGATGCAAAATTTACTTGCAGTCACCAATAAAAAATGCTGCTTCATACACTTGAATGAAGATGCATACTTTTCTGGATTCATGACACTGAATACACTTGGTAGATTCAATGACAAGTAATGAAAACAATGCGGATTAATAAAGGTTAATTAGGACTTACGGTCTTGCTGGATCTTTGCTGTTAAATTTCAGAGGAGCCAGAGACAATGAGAAGAGTGAGGAGATGAGTAGTGTTAAAGAACCATGGGTTAAAATTATATACAGGTCAATTAGTGTACTGCTTTAGGTTTGCATAGTCAGACATTTCCAAACACATATGGTTTTTATATTTCATGTTTTTGCATTAGCAATTTGTGCAATAATGCATAGATTTTGAATTTTGGACAAAAGACCTAATCCAACCTTTCACTCTGCTTGCTAAAACACTGAAGACAGATGAATTTATCTTAGGAATGCACTGGAAGCCAGATGTAGCTTGAAAAAAATTTTGTTGGTTAAAATCATATATTAACAAAACAAGCAACAGGCATATCTGCTACATCAACCCAACCCTTGATATCTGTGCCCTCCATGTTCCAGTGAAAAGTCCTTTATTAGCATTCTTCAATGGCACAAATATTACACAAATGCCTGTTACTTAAAAAAGGAAAACAATTTTAACTTGTGAAATCTACACTCTTGTACTTACACTACTCCTTCAAATCAATCATATCACATCATTAAGGGTAGGAAATGTATGAGGAGTAACAGACAACACTAACAAAAGAAAACAACCAAACGAACCAAAAACTTTTTTTTTTTCACAACTCAACAGAAAATAAATAAAGGCACTAAACTATTGGGTATGACGTAATATATGTGAAGTAGGGCTAGTATCAGTCAATATCAATAATCATCATATTATATTTCATTATTTCTTTACTTGAAGGGTCCATTTTTCTTAAAATTCCCTTAAGATCCCCTTAAACAGATTCAGAACTTGTGAAAGATGACTAAATGAATGGACTGTAAACTGAAATATAATTATAAAAAAATCAATCATACAAAAATGAACTTTTTTTGTCATAGGGTGCAATGTTATTACTGGTTTAGTTATAGTTTTTATTATAGTGCAGTGTTATTATCATTTCAGCTTTTATCATTTTAGTTTGTTTTTTTTTTATTTTATTTTAAAGATATATTTGTATTTAGTTTTCATGTATTTTAGTTTCAGGGTAAGTTTAAATGTATATGTCTTATCTTTAGAGAATCCAATATTAATGTACTCATTACTCAGCACTCAAAATGGGCAAAACATGTTCAAGGTATTATTATCTATGTTTCTTGAATGTTTTCCATCAAAAAGAAAAATTGACCAAACCATTATTTTAGCTAAACAGTATTTAAAATGGTTTTTGAAAGTATGTTGCATTTTCTTTTTTTTCTATTTTACTTCAGTTTTGGAAGCAATATTTATAGTTTCCGTTTGGTTGTTTTTTAAATTATGTTTTCGTATCTTATTTTATTTCATTTTTACAAAACGTTCTCTTATAGTTTTTGTCAACGATACTCTGGTAACACCAGCAAACACTGACAATACAGTTTGTTGCAGTGTTTTGTCTCTGACTGCCTCACTGCTCAGGTTTGATATGGTATTCTGTTTTGATCCAGTACAGGACACCATATGTCGTGTGTTTTGCACACCCCCCCAGTCAAATTTAATCCCTGAGGATCTTGGGAGGAGGGGCTATATCTTCAGATTGACAGTGGAAACTGGCAATACTTTGAATGACTGGCAATACTTTGAGTCGCGAAACAAGTATTTCCAGTTTTAGTTGGCATAAGTTTTCGGCAGAGTTTACAATACACAGCACCAGACTTGAAAGGGGCAGTTCACCCTAAAACTGAAAAAAGATATGTTTTAGAGGGGTTTTAGTGCTTTCTATCCATCTAAGTCAGGGGTGGCCAATCTTATCCACAAAGGGTCGGTGTGTATGCAGGTTTTCGCTGCAACTCCCTAATTAGATTACTAATTAGAGGACTGATTGGCTGAAGAGTCCTCACACCTGGGTTTGAACAGCTTGCCTACAAGTTATCCCAAAAACCTGCATACACACCGGCTCTTTGCGGATAAGATTGGCCACCCATGATCTTGAGTCATTCTGCTAGGAGATGCCTACTTTTGGAGATATCAACAGTTGAAATGTCAGTCATCTTTCAAATATAATTGGAGTGTATGGTATTCTTCTGTGGTGGTTAAAGTGCCAAAAAGATACATAAAAAATTCAGCAGCAATGTCTCTTACCAGAAATCATGACCCAGTTATTGAATATAATCCACAGACTTTGTACTGAAAATTTGTATAGTGAAAATGTACAAAATATTTCCTGCTACTGAACTTCACACACCGTATCACTGCACAGAAAATAAGAGCACAAGGACCCTGGTGATTTCATTCAGTGCAGTGATACAATTGGTGTATGGTAAAATATTATAAACATGCCGTCCAGCCTTGGACCCATAACCTTTAGGTCCATAGCAATAGTGCTACCCACTGCTCTACATGCTTTTCATTTGTTGCTACATTATTATCCTTAGTTGTTATAGTAGTGTTTGTAGTAGTGGGATATCAGGCCCAAAACTGACACTACTATCAGTGCATCCCTATTATAAATAAATATATAAATTTTACATTCTGACAAAAAAGCAGAATCTAATCACAAAACATTCCAAGTGTAACAGGGCAGGAGGAAACCTTGGAGGAAGCCATATAACTGCAATACATATCGCAACTGTGATAAATCACGAAATATAAAGTTATGATTAAATTGTTAAAATTAATTTTAGTGTTTGTGTGTGTGCATGCATGCCAGTATGTGTGAGTGTGTGTGTCTGTGAAATCTGGGGGCTCACTTTTTGACAAAGATTAATAGAACAGATCACATTTGCTGTTTGTTAGTCATACATACTATTTTGCATTATGTATTTTATCAGTAAATTAGACTCCTTTAATAAAAAAAAACTGATGTTTAAAACCTTTTGGAAAGGTCCATTCTTGTGTGGTATGTAAGAATTTAGAAAGGGGGATAGCAAAGTACAGTAAAACCGGTCTAAGTCGACACTCGCGGGACCAGCTTAAAAGTGACGACTTAGAGAATTGACGAGATACTTTGGCGACTTATGTCTATCTCGTCGTTTTGTCGACTAGTAAATATAACTCGCCGTTTTGCCGACTTATAAAGTCGACACTTCAGCGACTTATGTCTATGTCGCCGTTTTGCCGACTAGTAAATATAACACCATATACCTCTACTCATCACAGTATAGAGACCTGCACGGGACGGATTTTTCAGTCCCGCTCCTGCCCGCTCCCGCAAGATTCTGTCCCGCTCCCGCAAAAAATATATATTGTTTTTTCCCGCTCCCGCCCGCAGTATTCAAGTTTTGTCCCGCTCCCGCCCGCAAAATACCGCAGGTAAACATATATAAGTAGTCTTCTTTTTACCGCTTCTTCCCGCTACTCTGTTATTTGTTTCACTTGCTTCCCTTTTGAGTATATATAAAAAAGAAACGGAAAATAAACAAATATGTTTCGTTTTATTTTAGTTTAATTAAATGGAATGATGAACATGGACACGAACGAGGAGCTTTTCAGAACATGCCATCCCGTCCAAGCACCAGGCTGATTACTTCTTGGGGTGTCCGGTTACGTCCCCCGGCAATTGTAGTTTCTGTAGACGATTCGCCTGTAAATTATTATTTTAATTTAGTCGTTCTTGTTGCTTTTGTGCAGTAGATAAATGAGTATTTGTTTTTAATAAATTAATTTTAAGATAATTACATTTTGCGGGAGTCCCGCGATTAATTCTATTCTCCCGCAACCCGCACATACATGAGGACCTTACCGCCCGCACCCGCATTCACCCATCAAATCTTGTCCCGCGCCGCACTCGGTGCGACTAGTGCGATAGGTGGGGATTCCCTGTTTCTACATTGCCGTGGTGACAAGCAGGCGGCGGGAATGCAGCGATTGGGGTGTCGACTTACAGGTAGGAAAATCCATTCATTTGTGTTGTTCGGGACCGGGATTTAGGTGACGACTAAGGGAATTTGACGACTTACAAGCCGGCGACTTAGACCAGTTTTACTGTAGTACACTTTGAAAGCACATTTACAGCTCAAATTATAAGAACATATGAAATAAACAAACCCATAATATACACTATATCGAATATATTGAAACAGAAAAGATTTAAAACATACAAATTTTGTCCATATGAATATGTGATACAGTAACTGTGAAAATCATTAGAAACAAATACATTTTAACATTATTGGAACTGAACTTACGATCTATTGGAACTTCAATTGGGTACACCGCTTGCCACACCAGCTGCAGAAGTGAGAATGCGGCTACAGTGAATTCCGGCCACCCCCTGGTCAGCATCTCTCCTTTGGCTGGCTAACTTGATTGAAGCGTTATACTCTGGATAATGGCTGAGTCATGTACTTCTGGCTATGCCTCTGACCTGGTACATAAATACACCAATGTTCACGTTTGAAGTCATTATTATACACAAGGCAGCATTCAGAAAACACAATGTAACAGGATGTGTCCAAATCATGTGGCCTATACTGCCTACAATAGGCTGCTGGGTAACCTTGAGCAGAATAACCACTTGGAAAATGTTTTTACTATGGAACATATGTTTACATGACAGTACCTACCATAGAGGAGGTTCCACTATGTTTTTATCAGATTTTGTCTGCCAGATCTCATGATGTGAGGCTGGCTGGCCAAATAAGACCAACACATCCAAAGGAACATGCCATGGACTATAAAAGGCATATATTGAAAATTTGACCTGGGATTTTAAGAATCAATATTGGAATATTTTTTAAACTTAGCCCTAGTGTCCATCATATCACACTCATCTGAAAATCTGGGACTCATAATGTGCACTTTACAGCACCCAGGCATTATGAGCCCAGAGACTGCTGAGACTGGGCTCCAACCAGCAACCTTCGTATCACAGGCACAGAGGCTTAGACCACTAAGCCACACACCGGAGAACGCTGCAGTTACTGTACTGCATTCCCTGCAGCACAAACATATCAGATGCCTCAGGTCATGGTAAACAAGACTAAAGTGGACTGATGGTTCAAGAAAAACGTTTAAATGCCACAGGTTATTTTAAAGAAGCACAAGAGCAAATCTAATGCAGTGATCCAAGTTCAGTCTGGGCTGTGGCCATCTGTGACCAATTGACAAAAAAAATTATAAACTGACCTGCATGCTTTTGAGAACAACTGGGTTGAAACTTGATAGATAACATGTTAAATAAAACTAGAATTCTCATCCATTTATATATATTATGGATATATCAGATAATATAAATTGCTAGCGCTATTAGAGTAAGCACTGACAGCCAGCACTGTGAACTAGAACAAAGCTTTGTGTTCAAAGCACAGCAATGTTCAATGCTCCTGTGGACCAGGGAGCTGGTGGGAAGGGAGCTTAAAGATGCATGCTGGGAAAGCAAAAAGAGCCCTTCTGCTCTTGCCATAAAGGCGAAGGCAGTGGTTAAGACTGCATCTCCACCACTGCAACACAGCAAAGATGCCCACAGCAACAGAACCTACCCCTCCCTAACCATGAAATGCATATCGATACCCTCCACTCTTGATCTAAAAATACCCCAGTACCATCATCGTACCCCTTTAGAATGAGCAAGACAGCCCACAAGTCCCCCTATTTTCCCATATCACCTATTCCTTTCACCAAAAAAAGTGTCCTTCACAGCCTATTACATAATCAATCTCCTATACTCTTCTATTACTTCCTAAAAAGTACAGCTAAATTCTGACTAATGTTTCTCATTCATGACCAGTAGGCAGACACTCCAGTTATCAAATGAAGTATTGGCTGTTCCATTAGGATGGACATTTCAGGAAGAAATTAAATTTTATTACTGATAACATTCTTAAAAAGGTGATCAATTAAACTCACACGCAATAAAATGAGATGCAATTTTTCTTTAATTTTGTTTAATGGAGGCACTGACAATCATGTAGCTAAGGCCTTATGTAGAATGACTTTTGGCCAGTCTCTCAGGTTATGTCAGGTAAATATGGTAACCACGTGTTTCAGATGTTCAAGTGAAGTAGGAAATCTGAGATGCAGCAAAAGATGCAGTCAAAAGACTGACAATACGTTCTGTGTTTAAGGTACAGTAACAACTCCTGAAAAAACGTTTCAATAATTCTGAGTATCTTCTAAGACGCACAATTCTGAATTTTCAGACTAAAACAAACAAAACCTGAAATATAGACAATGCGAAAAATGTGCAACAAAAGCAAGAGTAAAAAAAAAAAAAAAAAAGACGTCAGCAAAAAGTCAAGTCATGGAAAGGGGATGTACAGTATTTTGTTCAAATAATTTCAGCACGACATGGGACTCCCCAGTGTTTTAGAGGCCAGCAAGATGACACAGAACCTCTTCTAGCCAGCAGAGCATGAACAATGCTGATGCCTCGGGGAATGTGTTGTAAGGCAGATTAAACAACAGCCCAAGCACTCTGCCACCATCTTCTCTCTTCCCAGGGGTGAGCACCACCCTTCATCCAAGATGCCATATGGCTTTAAGGGTTAAGGTCCATTCTATGGCTTGTCACCTACTCTGTTTCCAGAACATACTGGCTTGACCTTCAGCCCATTTACATTAATGACTCCTACTGGCTGACTTAAATGACATACCTAGAGTATGAGCCTAACACATAAAACATAATGAATACATTTCAGAAGTACTGCAAATATCTATTAAGATAAAGGGTACAATGAGAGTTCAGGGGAGCTGGTGTGAAAAGTGCAGAGGATAAATTATCAGTTTCAGCACTTCTAGGACGTTGCTCTGGATGATGAGATTAGGGTTATAGACAGCAAAGCATCACAGGAACAATCATTTGCTCCTGCAGTATGACCTAATTTAAAGGATGGAAATCAGATGGGGGGGTGGCAGCATAAGGAGAAGAAAGGAAGTAATCGGGACAGATGCAATGAGAAGGGGGTAGGGCTGGAAGAAAAGAGGCAGTGAGATGCATTTTGTGTTACTCAACAGCAGCTCTGCCTAACAGTGACAAATCAATCCTGCATACCCTGCAGCCACAGCTCATCCAAACCCCTTCCGCTGCCATTAATAAAACATGCCAGCTAGCCTAGGTAGCTATATGAAAGCCTGCCTCACAATGGGGAGATTCAATTGACATCACATCTGAATCAGTTGCACTTTTACCTGAATATAATCTAATGATAAAGCAGCACAAATAAATTGCTGCATTTCAGTTTGTGCCCATGGGATTTTGAAGGCACTACGATCTTGAAAAAATACCATAAAGCAACACTATACTGTCCCGTGATTCTGAAAGATCAAGCTGAGAAAAGCTCTGACAAGCTCGTAGGTAAATTATGCTGAGAAAGATGCTGGTCCCCTATTCCATTTCATACTTCCTAAGAGACACAAAATGTACTGCCCATAGCAAGAGTTTCTCCCCTTTCTTTTGATTTCTGTTCTTCTGTTGCGTGCTGATGACCAGAAAAAAAAATTAAATACCAACCCACCCTCACCAGCCCCAGCCCATTCCTAATGAAGAAAAATAATAAAAAGCTGGGTATTCAATACACACATTCAATAACCAGAGACACAGCATCCTTTGATTCTTTGATACATTTCTATTTTAATCTGGAGAAATTCCTCATAGGTTTGGAAACAACACTTAAAAACTAAGTAATATTTACTTGAGACACTTAAAAATAAATGCAGGAAAAAAATCTTCCAATTCGTCTCACACAATGAAAATGCACAATTTCCACATTTACACCTCACATGGAGACCTTTTCACCCTTGGTTCCACTTCAGCCAATAAAAGGAGATCAGCTTAGCATGGTTCCTTAGCAACAGCATCACAGAGCATAAATAGTAATGTAGCCATTGAAGGGGAGGGGAAAACCATGACTGGGAGTGCCTCTCCCGTTACCAGTCCAGAAATAAGAAATATTTCTATAAATCAGCTCAGTACACCAAAAATATATAATTGAAAACAAATCATCATATCATACACAGCTGTTCCCAAAAAAAGAGAATCAGAACAGCAAAAACACATCCAAAACTGATAGAAAAGAAATATATAAGTGTAGTGATGTACTAAATATGAGGACATAAGGTCAACCATACAGTAGGTCAGAACTAAATGATCAATACCTACATTTGATTTGGAGCTGTTTCTTGCATACAAAACTGCACGACTACCTAATACTTCTAGGTCTCTTCTTTTATCTCAATTTCTGGCAGCAGTTTAGTTTCAGCATAAAAATTATGGAAAGTAGCTAACAATTCTGCATATGTGTGACACTGTAAAAATATACTCAATGAAATCAAACAAAAGATTTTGAGATGCCAGGTGTAATTTGCTTGTATGAGCTCATTTGCTTCGGGTTGTCGTGGTGATTAAAGAAATTCCAGCTCCCTATGCATCTTAGTAACCAGTGTCATGGGATGCAGGCGTTCCATGCATCAGATACCCATTGTGACTGGTAGATGTGACTGAAGAATTGAGAACAGACCCCTCAAAGGGGCCAGGCCATCATAAATAGCCTTCATGGAGGGGGTAGGGAAGGGACAATATGAGGTTTGGTGTGGTGACAAATTCACAAAGTCAAACCTTTTTAACCATATGTAAGCAGGTAGAAATGATTTCTGATTATTTAAAATAAGATGAAAAACCTTAAATTCTGCTACTCCCATTTTACTTTTCAGATACCCATTGAGTTTCTTACCTTTTCCATTATCTTCAAGCCAAAATAACAATGCAGTGGACAATACAAACAGCCACTATTGGTTAAATAATAGCAGCGGCACAGCCAGGGAAGTCCAAAATTTACACGATACTCAGTGATACCGGCTAAATACATGAATTGCCAGGGTTGCCAGCTCTTACGCATGTGGTGTAACACACACGCTTTTTGACTCTCTAGCTCACGCAGCAAATCTTACAGCAAACTGATATCACGGTAAGTCAAAAGACTTGTTACAAAATATTGTATTTAGCGCCATCGATTACTTTTTTTTTGTGTAGACCGCGAACATAGAAGGACACCTCTTTTTCAGGCCTATTCGAGAAAAAAAGTGTCTTATATTCGGGCCAATATGGTACATCAGTGTCAACAAAATACAAGTTAAACTTGCTTTATATTAAAAATTAACAATGATGTTAGCTAGCTAGCTATCTAGCTATTAACAATAAGTTGTTAAAATTAGCAAGATAAAGTAAATCATACAAACAACCATCACAAACCCAAATTTAACTACAAATTTAAATACTAGGTACATAGATGATGGCATTTAACATTCAATTACATGTCAAATGCTATCAGTAGATAATGGACGTATTCCAACTATTATAAAAAGTCCCAATCCTCAAAAAGTGAACATATGCAATTCTCATTGCTACTAACCTGTTATCCAGAGCTTTGCAAATAGTTAATTTATAATGTGGAATAGACCCATTTCAGACTTTGGAACATAGAAACTTGGACTGAATCGCCAATCTACCACTTTTGTTACATAGATATGTAATACTAGGGGCTGGAGAGGCAGGTCACTTCCCATATCATAATGCCAAGGGGTCACTCCTGTATAACATTTTGTTTAACATATATGTGTATAAAATGTACTCTTCTTCCTATTCTATGTCTACCCTCATGCTTTTAAATACTGGTTAAGAAGTATGCATTCTGTCCCCAGCCTGTACTGCATTTTGATGCATAGAACAAAGGGTAACAGAAATTTGAATTGCCTAATACCTCCAAATTTTCATTATCATAAAGCCCTCTTGACTTCTGTGCTCCATTTGAACACCCATGGCCAATTGAATATTGAGGAACATCTGCTATGGTTCGCTATTCTCATAATGTGCCATTCTGAGGGTGCTTCTTGATTTATTTCACACAGAAAACACTATAAAAAACAGTATAATCTAGATAGGCAGCGGAACACTGGCTATCTTACATAGCCAGGTATATATGATAAATAACCCGTCCTAGACAAATCACTCAGAAGATATAATTTTCTAATTCCAAAATTTCCCTTCAAGAACATAGTAAATTCATCTTCGACAAGTGCTGGAATGTTCTCCCAAAGTCAACTGTAGAATCCAGCATTTGAATCAGATTTGGCTTAGAGACTCTAGACTCACATGTTTAGAGTACCACATTAAAACTAATTTACTAAAACATAGCCCTTAAATACTCTGACAATGGTAGCACTACTCACTATGTCATTTTTCATCTGGTATATTTTGCTGGTATATTAAAGTCATACATTAAACAAGACTTAAAGGTAATTTTAATATGCAAAATTAATATGCAAATTGTAAATGGGTTACTATAGGGTTTCATGCGATTCTGTCCATCTGTGTTCATTTTTCTGTCACAGTCTTCACAAAATCTTCACGCCCACTTCCTGTTCCCCATTTTTTTACCCACCTATTTCTGTTCCTTGGTGTACCTTGATTGTTTCATTTTGCCCCACTGTGTCTTATTTCCCTTGCCCAAATTGGCCTGGCCCTTCCTTGTAAGACTGTCAATGTTTTGTCCTGCTCCTCTTGTGCTGACTTTTTTTTACCTTTGCCTTCATGTTTCTGAATCTGCCTAGCCCTTTTCACGGCATTGAATCTTTCTGTCTTTCACATCCTGTGAGTAGTCTTTCCTTGTCTGCCTATGACACTCAAATGCAAATTGTAAGACTGTTGCTACAGGCAAACGTCTGCTTCTCTGCTCTTCCCCCCCCAACTAGGCTTGAATAGCAGATGATGGTAAAATGGCAATGACAATGTTGGGTGGGGTACTCAGCTGTGGGGCTGGAACCATTTGACGTTTTGTTGATAATTATCAATAACTAATGTGAAATTCATAAATAACAATAATAATAATAATACATTTTATTTGTATTGCACTTTATATTTTAGCAATCTCAAAGTTCTAGAGTAAAAATAAAGTAATAAAACAGGAGAATCTATAAAATACTTTAACAAAAGTAATCATTTTCAATAAGTATCAGCAATAAGCAGTCTGTGCAGCAACCCATTATTTGAAAAGTCAACTCAGACTCAAATAATAATGTCCACATTGTGAACAATGGCATGAGCAAATGTAAATACATACTGGCTATACAATGCCTTCTCAAATGTGGCAGTATTTTAATAAGTGTCAGAAGTTTTACCCTTTTTAGACAACAAAACAAATAATTGTAGAGATGAGGGCCTTCCATTTTTTCCAGCAAAGCAGAAGTGATGTGTCAGTGACACAACAATTCATATTTTAAGAAAAAAAGATCAACCCACATCAAGCTAAAGACATTACAAACTAGATTTTGCATGCTGTGGTGGATGGCTTGCCTATTAAAACAGTTGAAAAAAGTCATTTAATAATCACAGCATTAGTCCCAGGATATTAAGATACCACCTAGAAACGCAAAAGATTTGTATGGATACGTGATGGTATGGATCTGTGGTCTTAAATAATAATAATTCTTTGAGGGGGCACTTTCCATGTTTGTTATGTTGCTTTGTCTGCTGAATCAATACCTAGTTTTATTTTTTATCTTCAATTGCACTGCAATGCCTAAGAAAGCCATACAGTGTGTGTTGTACCATTACTTTTGGTAATACGTCATGAATATGTTGCTGTAGAACATGACAGCTCAAACAGATATTGGATAGTGACACAGAATGGACATTAACAATACATGTTAAAAGGACAACCACACAAGACAACACCAAAGCAGTGAATCAGAGGTCGTACCCTAAGCCAGGGAGATGGGGCCAATGCACTTAAAAGAATTCTGACTTTCACTCCTTTCATGCCTAATTTTAGAACTCAACTCAGTTGAGGTTACGAATAAGCATTTGCCCAGACACATAACTGCAATGTAGTGCAGACATTTCAATAGGAATTTGATAGATATGGTGGAAATATAAGCTAATTTAAAACAATTCTAATTTTCAACAGGTATGATCAAAAAATCCAAATAGAAACTATTTTCCAAGGAAAATACTATATTTGTTTTACTATATTTTCCAAATCCTCTAAGGGCTCAGCCAGCTAGAAAATCATTAGATGTAAAAATAAGATAAAAAAAAAAAACATGAAAAATTATAGAAGACAAAAAGATATTTCTGACAGCATTCAGTTTTCCTGTAAATGGGAAAAAATTTTTCCTGTGAAATGATTTTTTTTGCTTTGTTCTTGGGTGATAAATGACTTGATGATGCAGCACTCAAATACTTGAGGTTCACAAATATTCTCTACAATAAAGTGTAATGGGCTGTCCTGGTGACTTCAATGTCAATCTTACACTCCAAAACTGGTAGAATAAAAACCTCCACCAAACAATGTCTTGGATCTGCTACCACTGCCCTGAGACACATACACCTGGGGAATTCAGACGGCAAAGGCGCCGTATACAACCTGCTCTGTATTTAATGTCCTACGGCATCATACACTATAGTCACTTGGTGCAAAAACTATTTTTTTTCATTATTTTTCTTAAAAGCACATGGCTCCATGTTATGCCCGCCCTGCAATGAAGCAACAGACGAACAGGGTTCAGAAAATATGTTAAGGCCAGCCTCTAGTCAGCTGCAGTTTGGTCCCGCACAAAAGGGCTGTGTCTGTTTGTCAATGGAGCTCAAAGAGAACCAAGAGAGGGAGCGGGGAAGCTGACAAAGAGGAGCAGGGACAATATCAGTTGTGACAATACTAGGAATAGCAAAGGACCTGGAATATTTTAATTACACAAGCCAGCTATGTGGAAACATGTTGGTTTACTTTCATCATGTGAAAATTATAATAAAATATCTATAATCAGTGACTCATCAATGTGTTCTGTATTTTTTTAAAAAGCAGAATGAGACAAATAGTAAGAGAGATGGAGAGTTACTCTTCTGATCTTAAAACTGCAGTGTTTATGGACTACAATGCAAATGCTTTTTAAGTTATTTATAATATTGTTATCAAAAAAGCATGTAACACCATACAGATTTAACCCACTGTGACTCAACATACCATTTAAGATCTATTAAAGAACACATACCGCGCAAAACAAACAAATAAATAAATAAAACAATAACACAGAAATGTAATACTATTAATTGCTGTACTTTGTGTCATTGTTTATGTCAGATTATATTATTTATTGCTCTATTGTCTATGTGCAAATACTGAGTTAGCTAAGGACACTCAAATAGAATGCCAATTAAGGGCAACACTGTTGCAGAGAACAAAAGCTCATAAAACCCGATATAAAATCCTTTACTTGAGGGTAAAGACACAGCCAAAGAACACAAATAAAGAAAACATAAAAATGTCTTACCTCATGTGCACGATACTTTAAGTGAGATTCAGTTGCTGCTTAAGTAGACTCAAGCCTATCACTGGAAAGCCCTCTCAATGGCACTGGGTGTTAAAAAGTGAATTATGTCTTGGTAGGAATCCAAATGGAATAACAGTGACTGACCACTGCCTTTTCTTCCCAATCCAGGTTAAGAAATCAATGACAATATGGCAACACTGCTGTTTCCCTCCCCTCACTTCACACTCTGTATAACACCCATGCACAGATGCCGATTCTATAACAGGCAGGCCCCTATTCCTTTATCACACCTACCTAATGAATAATAAAGGGACTCAGGCCCCACCCACTGTCCTTTCAAGCACACACACAAACACAAAAAGCAGAGTTGTCATGCACACTCGCCACCCTCTGGTGCTGTGTGATGCTGTGGAAGTGCTGTTAACAAAGCTTCCATAAGGATACTACTAGAGCTAAAAGTCCAAATTAAATCAGGAACATGTATTCTGTGATTGTATTCCACACAAAATTCTGATCACACACAGAACCAAACTGAACTTCAGCTGTATCACATCTGAATAATATGTGTGAATTTTAAGTTGGAGAGTAACGGGGGGGGGGGGGGTGAATTGTTGTTCACATTTTGCCATACTGGGCACAGATCTTGGGCAGGAGAGCTCCAATGAAGTTTCCTGATGTGTGTCTGTTGTGAACTCTCTACAACATTATAATGCATTCAAGTAAAATAGAAGCAAAACACTAATTATATTTGATTCTTTTGACCTGTTAGCTCACCAATTTAGTTTTCAAATTAAATTTGAGCTGTACCAGGAAAGTAAAAAAGACTGAGGAGATGTATGACTCATTTCCTTCAAGAAAATGGAATCAGTACTTCCTTATGAAATAAGGTTCATAGATGACTCACTTTAGGTTGTTTATACACATAGATTATATCCCAGTAGCATATGCTCATTATAGTCTTGCCAAAGCCCAATATCACTTCATTTGTTTTCCACTTCACAGACTTCACTACATATTTCTGGAGAAGGTGAAAAAGCAAGGGTGGCATGACATTGCAAACTTTAGTCCAAGCATGTACTCTAAAGGTCAAGCTTTCATATTGATTAAAAAATTGTTTTCCACCCACCATCTATCCATCCATCACCACCAGCTTGTCCGGGATCCAGGTCGTGGGGGTAGCAACTTCAGGAGCGATACCCAGACCTCCCTCTCCCCAGCCACCTCTACCAGCTCTTTTGGGGGGATGCTGAGGCGTTCCCAGGTCGGCTGAGAGACATAATCCCTCCAGAACGTCCTGGGTTTGCCCTGCGGCCTCCACCCTGTAGGACATGCATGGAAAACCTCTCCAGGTAACCGCCCAGGAGGCATTCCGCGCCAGGTGTCCAAACTACCTCAATTGGCTCCTTTAGATGTGGAGGGGCAGCGGTTCTACTCTGAGACTCTCCCAGATATTCAAACTTCTCACCCTATCTCTAAGGGAGAGCCCCAGACTCCCTGCGGAGAACCTCATTTTGGCTGCCTGTATCCGCAGTCTCATTCTTTTGTCACTACCCACAGCTCATGACCATAGTCACCTATAAACGAAGATGGACCAATAGATCGAGAGCTTTGCTTTCAGGCTCAGTTCCTTTTTGGCCACGACAAACCGGTTAAGCGCCTGCAAAACTGCAGATGCTGCTCCGATCCGTTTTCCACCCACCATCTATGAATTAAATATTTTTCTGAAAATGTTTTCAAACTCCAAATGGAAAATAACCCAAACACGGGAGACATCCTCCATCCGGGTAGATTCGGGCTTGAAGACGTGGTGTGGATCCTTCACTGCTTCGCCCGCTGAGACGTGCGACAGCCTCGGATGAAAGGTCTGCACTCTTCGTTTTGGGCTGTTTAATGCTAGATCACTAGCAAACAAGACATGTCTTCTAAATGACTTCTTCACTTCACGTGAGTTGGAATTTATGTTTCTGACAGAAACATGGCTTCATGCTGGCGATTACACCCCTTTCTCAGAAGTTATTCACCCGCGATGTGACTTTTTCAGCTCACCTCGGACCACTGGTAAAGGTGGTGGGGTGGCTTCTGTGTTCAAGTCCATTTTCCATTGTAAGGAGATTCTGTTTGACAGTTGCTTAAGCTTTAAATTGCAAGCTTTTGAGACTAACTTTCCCATGACGGTGCTCTGTGCAGTGTTGTATCGCCCTCCAAAGTTTAACAAGGATTTTATTCAAGACTTTTCTGGGTTTGTAGCTGAGATTGCTTTGAAATATGACCACTTTTTAATTGTTGGGGATTTTAAAATTCATGTATGCTGTGATTCCAGACCCCTCGTCAAAGATTTCCTTGATCTTATTGACTCTTTAATCTTACTCAGTCGGTTGCTGCCCTGACACACATGAAAAAGGTCATTCATTGGACCTTGTGTTGTCGTTTGGCTTAAGTATTGTAATCTCTGATTTATGTAACACTGGTATCTCAGACCATCTACACACACCTAAAGGATTATTAGGAACACCTGTTCAATTTCTCATTAATGCAATTATCTAATCAACCAATCACATGGCAGTTGCTTCAATGCATTTAGGGGTGTGGTCCTGGT